AGTGACCTAGTAGCGACCAGTGAAGAGGCGGGGCCAGGAGCTTGGACTCGACCCCTGCAACCTCAACTAGGTGAGTGCACACACACACACACACACACACACACACACACACACACACACACACACACACACACATACACACACACACACAAACATACTCACACACACACACACACACACACACACACACACACACACACACACACACACACACACACACACACACACACACACACACACACACACACACAAGAGAGAGAGGAGAGGATGAACCAGCAAGGCTGGACTTAGTATTCACCTTCAGTAGTGCAGATATCGGGGACATCACATATGAAAGACCCCTTGGGGCCAGTGACCATGTGGTTTTAAGCTTCGAATACACAGTAGAGCTACAAGTGGAGGGAGAAGCAGGAAGGCCAGGACGAATGAAGCCAAACTACAAGAAAGGGGACTACACAGGAATGAGGAACTACCTGAACGGGGTTCAGTGGGACAGAGAACTGGCAGGGAAGCCAGTTAATGAGATGATGGAATATGTAGCAACAAAATGCAAGGAGGCTGAGGAGAGGTTTGTACCCAAGGGTAACAGGATTAATGAAAAAGCCAGGATGAGCCCATGGTTTACCCAAAGGTGCAGGGAGGCAAAAACCAAGTGTGCTAGGGAATGGAAGAAATATAGAAGGCAAAGGACCCAGGAGAATAAGGAGAACAGTCGTAGAGCCAGAAACGAATATGCACAGATAAGAAGGGAGGCCCAAAGACAATATGAAAATGACATAGCAGCGAAGGCCAAATCTGACCCGAAACTGTTGTACAGCCACATCAGGAGGAAAACAACAGTCAAGGACCAGGTAATCAGGCTAAGGAAGGAAGGAGGAGAGACAACAAGAAATGACCGTGAAGTATGTAAAGAACTCAACAAGAGATTCAAAGAAGTGTTCACAGAGGAGACAGAAGGGACTCCAGAAAGACGGAAAGGTGGGGCACACCACCAAGTGCTGGACACAGTGCACACAACCGAGGAAGAAGTGAAGAGGCTTCTGAGTGAGCTAGATACCTCAAAGGCAATGGGGCCAGATAACATCTCCCCATGGGTATTGAGAGAGGGAGCAGAGGCGCTATGTGTACCCCTAACAACAATATTCAATACATCATCGAAACAGGGAGATTGCCTGAGCATGGAAGACAGCAAATGTAGTCCCAATCTTTAAAAAGGAGACAGACATGAAGCATTAAACTACAGACCAGTGTCACTGACATGTATAGTAGCAAAATCATGGAGAAGATTATCAGGAGAAGAGTGGTGGAAACACCTAGAAAGGAATGATCTCATCAACAGCAGCCAACATGGTTTCAGGGACGGGAAATCCTGTGTCACAAACCTACTGGAGTTCTATGACATGGTGACAGCAGTAAGACAAGAGAGAGAGGGTGGGTGGATTGCATTTTCTTGGACTGCAAGAAGGCGTTTGACACAGTTCACACAGAGAGATTGGTGCAAAAACTGGAGGACCAAGCAGGGATAACAGGAAGGCACTACAATGGATCAGGAATACTTGTCAGGAAGACAGCAGCGAGTCATGGTACGTGGCGAGGTGTCAGAGTGGGCACCTGTGACCAGCGGGGACCAGCAGGGGTCAGTCCTAGGACCAGTGCTGTTTTCTGGTATTTGTGAACGACATGACGGAAGGAATAGACTCTGAGGTGTCCCTGTTTGCAGATGACGTGAAGTTGATGAGAAGAATTCACTCGATCGAAGACCAGGCAGAACTAACAAAGGATCTGGACAGGCTGCAGACCTGGTCCAGCAATTGGCTCCTGAGTTCAATCCCACCAAGTGCAAAGTCATGAAGATTGGGGAAGGGCAAAGAAGCCGCAGACGGAGTACAGTCTAGGGAGTCAGAGACTACAAACTCACTCAAGGAAAAAGATCTTGGGGTGAGTATAACACCAGGCACATCTCCTGAAGCGCACATCAACCAAATAACTGCTGCAGCATATGGCGCCTAGCAAACCTCAGAACAGCATTCCGACATCTTAATAAGAAATCATTCAGGACCCTGTACACCGTGTATGTTAGGCCCATATTGGAGTATGCGGCACCAGTTTGGAACCCACACCTAGCCAAGCACGTGAAGAAACTAGAGAAAGTGCAAAGGTTTGCAACAAGACTAGTCCCAGAGCTAAGAGTATGTCCTACGAGGAGAGGTTAAAGGAAATCAACCTGACGACACTGGAGGACAGGAGAGATAGGGGGGACATGATAACGACATACAAAATACTGAGAGGAATTGACAAGGTGGACAAAGACAGGATGTTTCCAGAGATTGGACACAGTAACAAGGGACACAGTTGGAAGCTGAAGACACAGATGAATCACAGGGATGTTAGGAAGTATTTCTTCAGCCACAGAGTATCAGTAAGTGGAATAGTTTTGGGAAGCGATGTAGTGGAGGCAGGATCCATACATAGCTTTAAGCAGAGGTATGATAAAGCTCACGGCTCAGGGAGAGTGACCTAGTAGCAATCAGTGAAGAGGCGGGCCAGGAGCTCGGACTCGACCCCCGCAACCTCAACTAGGTGAGTACAACTAGGTGAGTACACACACACACACACACACACACACACACAGAAAGTACAAAGGTTTGCAACAAGGCTAGTCCAGAGCTCAGGGAATGTCGTACGAGGAAAGGTTAAGGGAAATCGGACTGACGACACTGGAGGACAGAAGGGTCAGGGGAGACATGATAACGACATACAAGATACTGCGGAGAATAGACAAGGTGGACAGAGATAGGATGTTCCAGAGAGGGGACACAGGGACAAGGGGTCACAACTGGAAGCTGAAGACTCAGACGAGTCACAGGGACGTTAGGAAGTATTTCTTCAGTCATAGAGTTGTCAGCAAGTGGAATAACCTAGAAAGTGAAGTAGTGGAGGCAGGAACCATACATAGTTTTTAGAAGAGGTATGACAAAGCTCAGGAAGCAAGAGAGAGAGGACCCAGTAGCGATCAGTGAAGAGCGGGGCCCAGGAGCTGAGTCTCGACCCCTGCAACCACAATTAGGTGAGTACAATTAGGTGAGTACACACACACACACACACACACACACACACACACACACACACACACACACACACTCACACACACACACACACACACACACACACACACACACACACACACACACACACATATATATATATATATATATATATATATATATATATACATACCGTGGGGGAGATGCTCCACTCGGGGTATAGTTTGTTTATGTATATATGCTTTACAGAACTGAAGTGAATGACTCACAGGCAAGAACAACAAGGGGTGAGCAGGGAAGTGCGGGAAAGGAACATCGTAGAAAAAGAGCAGAGACTGAACCCAGCCGCAGAGCACTGTATGGCAGATGTTGACTAGAGTTAAAGGAAGCAGGAGGACGCTTGCTGAGTATCCTGACTAATAGTCTTGAGTATATCTTGATAATGTAAAAGAGAGCGGCAATGGCAGGCAGGAGGATCACTTCATGATGATTGATGTGATACCTGTTCTCATTGTACAGAAGTACAGCTTTTAGACTTCTGGAGGAGCTGTCAATGAAGAGTCTCCACTCATCTGGATTGCATGCAATTCCAATTGCATCAAACAGGCCTGATACATCACTACAGTAGCACAACCTGTCTTCATTATTGAAGAGGCTTGAGAAATGTTAGTGACGTTTTCTTTGGCTTGTCACTTGCACTTTCATCCACCAAGTCCCACTCCTTGACTAAGCCTTGAAATCAAAAGCTCAGCATTTGACCTTGTCAAACCAAGATCTCTGATAAGGTCATTGAAGTTTGTTTTGTTTGGATAGTAAGGATTTCTCCCAAAAGCTGTTCACTGTGCTCTTCGTTTTCTGAATTGCTGCTTTCTTCTCCTGACGGTTGACATATTTCTGGAGGTGTAGGTACAGGAAGATCAGCGCTGTGTGGTACTGGTGCAATAGAAGAGGGAAGGTCTGGATAAGAAATAGCAGGTGCATTTTTCCCAGTTCGGTGTTGGGAAGGATCCACCAGTTAGTTGGTTGAGTGATCAGTGAGTTCACGCCATATTCTAGGAACACCAAACTTCATGATTCTTTTTCCTCCTCTATATCATCCTGTAAAAGAACAAAAGAATTAGTTCCTGTTACATGCATTTCATTTAAACTTTGCTCTTGTCTTAATGAATTGACCACATATGTAGCAGAATGTATCTGGAGAATGACTGCAGCCTCTTGATGCCATTTCACTTCTGATGTATCTTTTCAGGCAGCCAGAGCTGAACTGAATGCTGGTTTGTGAGCTCCTGTTTTTATATTTGCCAAACAAAACCCTAGAACATAATAGTTTCACATCATCTCTATGAAAGTGTTCCAGAAGTGTCCTGACCACAAAAGCAAAGTTCTGGGATCAAAATTGCTTTTTTAAAATTTTGTTTAGTTGTAAAGAATTGGGAAATGATGCCTATCTCCCAGGAAGACGACAAAAGTGAAATTTTGATACATAGTGAATTATTAATTAAAATTATAGCTACAGATGGTTGCTATAATCTGGCTACATTAAATACAAGCTGGTGGCGGGGATGGCCACTATACTTCTGGTCCCACTATGTAAGCCAGTGCTCACTGCAGTCTGAGTCACAGTGACTAGACTGCAGCGACCGTCTGATGGCGAGGCTCACTGCTGTCACATCAACAATCTATTTCTGTTTGATGTTCCAGGTTGTTGGTGTCATTATTGTACTATTGTACTGTCAGCATTGTACTACTGTAGTGTCAGGATTGTATCATCAATATCCGTTGATCTATGACCTGCTGATTTAACACCTGATTAACCCCTGCTGATTAACACTTACCTATTTAACACCTGTTGACGTAGCAACTGCTGATCTGACATCTGCTGATCTATCACCTGCTGTTCTGACACTGCTGATCTCACACCTGCTTATCTAACACCTGTTGATCTTGCAGGTTCTCCAAGGGCTTCGCCTTCGCTAACCTGGAGACTGCGAATGAGTTCGAGGAACAGCGAGCTCGCTTCTTTCAGGTGAGTCCGCCAAATATTATTGCTATTCAGAGCCTCTTTTATCATCTTCACCTACCCTGCTCAACATGGAGACTTGTTTACATATCCTAAGAATTGGAACTTTACACCTTAGTCCCTAGATAGTCTGGGAAGACTGAATGTCTCCCGTCACTAGGACTGCAGGGGCTACAAGCCACTTCTTCTTACTTTTTTGGAGTTCCCAAACCCACTTGAAACGAGGTGGGGTTGAACCATTGGCGGTATGTCGTAAAATACAAGGCCCTTCTTAGGTCCTTTCCCTGATGCCGCTTCAGGGCTCCTGATCTAGGGAATGGCAGATACCCATCCTCGCCCTCCCGTGAATCAAACCTAACTGCCTCTAATTTTCATGGCGATGAATAAGTCACTGGTATCTTTGCTGTTGGAAACGCTTCGCCAGCGCAGAAGGCTTTCTCAGAATGATCAGGTGTGTCAGTCCCTCTCAGTCTTGATAGAGATGGTCATTCCCCCGCCTGATAGAGGCGAACGATCCTCACCATGATAGTGGTCATCCCTACCCTTGAAGAGTGTCAGTCCCTCTCCACTGATAGAGCGAACGCTTTCCCTCAGCCATGATATTTGGTCAGTCCCTCAGCCTTGAAGGAGATGGTCAGTCCCTCTGCCTTGATAGGAGTCGCAATCCCCTCAGCCTGATAATAGTGGTCAATTCCCCTAGCCTGAAATTTGATCAGTGTCCTGATAATCACACTTAGACACTCTTCCCCTCATCAACAACTACTTGCTCTGTCTTCCCCTCATCAACAACTACTTGGCTCTGTCTTCCCCTCATCCTCAACTGCTTGGCACTGTCTTCCCCTAATCATCAACTACTTGGCACTGTCTTCCCCTCATCAGCAACTACTTGACACTGTCTTCCCCTCATCACCAATACTTGACACTGTCTTCCCATCATCAACGACTACTTGACACTGTCTTTCAATCATCAACAACTACTTGACACTGTCTTCCCCTCATCAACAACTACTTGACACTGTCTTCGCCTCATCACCAATACTTGGCACTGTCTTCACCCTCTCAACAACTACTTGGCACTGTCTTCTCCTCATCAACAACTACTTGACACTGTCTTCGCCTCATCACCAATACTTGGCACTGTCTTCACCTCATCAACAACTACTTGGCACTGTCTTCTCCTCATCAACAACTACTTGACACTTCTTCCCCCTAACAATCACACAACTACTTGGCATGTCTTCCCCTCATCAACAACTACTTGGCACTGTCTTCACCTCATCAACAACTACTTGGCACTGTCTTCTCCTCATCAACAACTACTTGACACTGTCTTCCCCTAATCAACAACTACTTGACACTGTCTTCCCCTAATCAACAACTACTTGGCACTGTCTTCACCTCATCAACAACTACTTGACACTCTCTTCCCCTCATCAACAACTACTTGGCACTGTCTTCCCCTCATCAACAATTACTTGGCACTCTCTTCCCCTCATCAACAACTACTTAGCACTGTCTTTCCCTCATTAACAACTACTTGGCACTATCTTCCCCTCATCAACTACTTGGCACTCTCTTCCCCTCATCAACAACCACTTAGCACTGTCTTTCCCTCATCAACAACTACTTGACACTGTCTTCCCCTCATCAACTACTTGGCACTCTCTTCCCCTCATCAACAACTACTTAGCACTGTACATTAAAATGGTATAAGATACCGACAGATTGATAGGTAAGACACATATGCAACAGTTAGGTATCTTTATTTCGAAACGTTTCGCCTACACAGTAGGCTTCTTCAATCGAGTACAGAAAAGTTGATAGAAGCAGAAGATACTTGAAGACGATGTGATGGACTGATTACATCGTCTTCAAGTATCTTCTGCTTCTATCAACTTTTCTGTACTCGACTGAAGAAGCCTACTGTGTAGGCGAAACGTTTCGAAATAAAGATACCTAACTGTTGCATATGTGTCTTACCTATCTACTTAGCACTGTCTTGCCCTCATCAACAACTACCTGACACTGTCTTCCCCTCATCAACAACTTCTTGGCACTCTCTTCCCCTCATCAACAACTACTTAGCACTGTCTTGCCCTCATCAACAACTACCTGACACTGTCTTCCCCTCATCAACAACTTCTTGGCACTCTCTTCCCCTCATCAACAACTACTTAGCACTGTCTTCTCCTCATCAACTACTTGGCACTGTCTTCCCCTCGTCAACAACTACTTAGCACTGTCTTCCCCTAATCAACAACTACTTGGCACTGTCTTCCCTTCATCAACAACTACTTGACACTGTCTTCTCCTCATCAACAACTACTTGGCACTGTCTTCTCCTCATCAACAACTACTTGACACTGTCTTCCCCTCATCAACTACTACTTGACATTGTCTTCACCTCATCAACAACTACTTGGCACTGTCTTCTCCTCATCAAGAACTACTTAGCACTGTCTTCCCCTCATCAACAACTACCTGGCACTGTCTTCACCTCATCAACAATTCTTCTGGCTGGTATAAATCTTTCTCTATCATTCGTAACATCAAATCAAGACAATTTTCCTGACTCATTACAAAACTGTGAGTCAGACACATGTGCAACACCTGGGTATCTCTATTATTTAAACGTTTAGTAAACCAGTGGCGTTTTTCCCATACTGAGCTAAACGTTTTTTTTAATAAAGATACATGTGTCTTAGTCATCAACTTGTCGGTATTGTGTGTGTCATTAGAGTGATGGCTCGGAGTTTACTGCCGTGTGTCAGCATGTGTCTTTGGAGCATGCGTCTTGACAGTATGTGTTTTGACAGCATATGTCTTGAGAGAATGTGTCTTGAGACAATGTCTTGACAGCATGAGTCTTGATGGCATGTATCTTGACAGCATGAGTTTTGACAGCATGAGTCTTGACAGCATGAGTCTTGACAGCATGAGTCTTGAATGGCATGTATCTTGACAGCATGAGTCTTGACAGCATGTATCTTGACAGCATGAGTCTTGACAGCATGAGTCTTGACAGCATGAGTCCTGACAGCATGAGTCTTGATGGCATGTATCTTGACAGCATGAGTCTTGACAGCATGAGTCTTGATGGCATGAGTCTTGACAGCATGAGTCTTGATGGCATGTATCTTGACACCATGAGTCTTGACAGCATGTATCTTGACAGCAAGTCTTGACAGCATGAGTCTTGATGGCATGTATCTTGACAGCATGAGTCTTGACAGCATGAATCTTGACAGCAAGTCTTGACAGCATGAGTCTTGACAGTATGAGTCTTAGCAGCATGAGTCTTGACAGCAAGTCTTGACAACATGAGTCTTGACAGCATGAGTCTTGACAGCAACTCTTGACAGCATGAGTCTTGACAGCATGAGTCTTGACAGCATGAGTCTTGACAGCATGAATCTTGACAGCATGAGTCTTGACAGCATGAGTCTTGACAGCAACTCTTGACAGCATGAGTCTTGACAGCATGAGTCTTGATGGCATGAGTCTTGACAGCAACTCTTGACAGCATGAGTCTTGACAGCAACTCTTGACAGCATGAGTCTTGACAGCAACTCTTGACAGCATGAGCCTTGACAACAAGTCTTGACAGCATGAGTCTTGACAGCATGAGTCTTGACAGTATGAGTCTTAGCAGCATGAGTCTTGACAGCAAGTCTTGACAGCATGAGTCTTGACAGCATGAGTCTTGACAGCACGAGTTTTGACAGCATGAATCTTGACAGCATGAGTCTTGACAGCATGAGTCTTGACAGCATGAGTCTTGACAGCATGAATCTTGACAGCATGAGTCTTGACAGCATGAGTCTTGACAGCATGAGTCTTGATGGCATGAGTCTTATCAGCAACTCTTGACAGCATGAGTCTTGACAGCAACTCTTGACAGCATGAGTCTTGACAGCATGAGTCTTGATAGCAAGAGTCTTGATAGCATAAGTCTTGAGAGCATCTCTTGACAGCATGAGTCTTGACAGCAACTCTTGACAGCATGAGTCTTGACAGCAACTCTTGACAGCATGAGTTTTGACAGCATGAGTCTTGATAACAACTCTTGACAGCATGAGTCTTGACAGCAACTCTTGACAGCAGCTTTTGACAGCATGAGTCTTGACAGCAACTCTTGACAGCATGAGTCTTGACAGCAACTCTTGACAGCATGAGTCTTGACAGCAATTCTTGACAGCATGAGTCTTGACAGTGTGAGTCTTGACAGCAAGTCTTGACAGCACGAGTCTTGACAGCAACTCTTGACAGTATGAGTCTTGACAGAATGAGCCTTGACAGCATGAGTCTTGACAGCAACTCTTGACAGCATGAGTCTTGACAGCAACTCTTGACAGTATGAGTCTTGACATCATGGGTCAGGTGTATCAGTCTCGGGTCTTAAAGTGTCCTTATGAATCCTAAGTAGCAGTCTCTGGCTTATTAACTGGCTTACATAAGTCAGGTAAGCCATCAGGTACTTACCCACTAGACTGCAGCTCTGATAAGCCAGTAGTGGCTTACCCACTGATAAGACCAACCATACATTACATGTGGAAAATGCTGCATATTTTCCGAAAATACAGTGCATTTTGTACGTAAATTCATGGAATACATTGTAGTTAATAAAAATTAATTTGTAAATAGAAAAATGAACCAGCGACGGTGGGTTAGTGTCGCTGGGGAGAGACGCCATTGATTTGAATTGGGCAAAGGCACACTAGTGAAATGTGCATAAATTTCGTCGCTCTGGAGGTTAAATTGTGGTTGAAACCTCCTAAATGTGAGCAGAAATTGTTGGATTTCCAGTCCTGCAGAACGTGAGAATTAGGCGATTGGACAGGACTTCGTAATTAGATGGAAACAGTATAAAATTAACCCAGGTGATGTCTATATTTATGTTGAAATTCTGGCCAGTATTTTCTTCATATTTTAGGAACGGGTTTGTGTATGACACACAAAGTAATCTCCAGACAAATTGGTGAGTGTTATTATTATAAATTCTCCTT